TTGAACAGTCAAAACTACTTATACAGGGTAATATTGTTCATTTAAAATTGTTTTTCAAAATAGCCCTGTAGACAAAACAATATAAAAATCTGACACAATCACTGAAACACAAAAATAATCTGGAAATTGTAAGAAGACTATTGGTTCAAAGCACATGACATAAACAATGTGTAGATGCTTAAGACACAACAACTGATCAAAACACATTCAAAAATGCAGGTTTTCTGCTATTCTTTTAAACGTGTCATGTCCTGGATTGCTATGGGTTCCCACCTGTTATGATGAGCAATGTTTGAAGCACAGGCATTCACATGTCAATGGATTTCATATTTTTGTTGTACTTTGAAACTTAACATCATGGTATGCACACATTTTTCGCAATTAACTTACTATATCATGGAAATAATAATCACATTTGTCATCCCTCAAATAACAGTGTGCCGTGACATGATTGAATGGCATATTGATGCAGACAAAATGCATTTTCATTAGCTACCAATATATCCTCAAGCAAACACGATGAACTGCAAGCAAGGAGTATCATTTTGTGCTGCTGTTAAGTACCTACTTAAAAATAGAAGTCAAATGGGTACAAACAATTGCAGTGCAAACATACCTTGGAGAGTTTAGTACTACACAAGATAATATTCCACTACAATTACGGCTTGTGTGGAATCGACCAGTCAGCATTCATGGATTCAAGTTTGCTTGAAAACCAAATCTCATGTACTGAAGAGTTTGCATTTAATCTTGATGTCTGTACAGCATCGATACCATCAGGCTAAGTTGACCATTGTAGACAGAGCAGCTAAGGTTGCTGCTGTTGTAGAGAGTCTGGAGCGAGATCTGGAGCTGCTTTGCTTGACAGGCGTTGAAGATAAACTACAGCAAGATGTACGGCCCACATTGGAGCTGCTCAGAAATGCTGGAATAAAGGTATCTAATTCTTTTTTCTTTTTTTCTTTTTTTTTTTGAGGTATAGATTTGTAATAAAGACATGCCAGGTTTTGGCCTGAACTGCCCTTCCATGTTGTGAGGGCAAAGAAAAAAATAGACAATTTTGGCCGAAAAATCACTCTTAGTTGTTTTTTTTTTGAGATAACCCCAGGAGTTTTCACCAAATATATTCAATTTGGTATCAAATAATGAAAATTGCATGCCCTAATCAACAATGATGTCAATATTCAGGTGTGAGATTTGTCCAGATTTTCCAGATGGCAGGATTTTTAGAAAAATGTATTAAAAATTTATGGGTTTTCTATTTGGCATCTAGAGGTACATGCAGTACTTTCCAAGTTTTGCATAAAAGTGAATGCAGGACAAGTGCATGCATAGGTTTTAACAGCACACTCGCTTTTGTGTTGTTACTCCCACTGTAATGCTATAACATACCCCTGAACAATAGTCCTGCATTTTTTTATATTTTGTTGGACTATATTTTCTCTTCTTTGCTGATTCATTTTGTGAATGTGTATAGCAATAATCAGGCAAAATGATTGCAGTAAGTAAATTTGGGTTCACAATTTTAACAGAAAAACCTATACACAGAACTTTGTTTCCTGGGATAAAATCACAGCAACAGAACCTTCAGTTGTCCAAAATTGCATTGATAATTTGAGTGTTTCAAAAATTGTACTTTTCAATGCATTTAACCAAATTGGAGTGCAAAAGGGTTGTCATACACTGAACAAGAGCACCAAGTTGCAGAAATATTGTGCCAAAGAAAAACTCAATGCTGCTGCACTTTAAGTTGCAAAGCAGTCCTGTGCAGTTTTAGTTCCTGAACGCATGCCAGTGAGTGTGCCAGTGAGTGTGCCAGTGAGTGTATAAATGCCTTCTATCATGGACCTGTAACAATAGGGGGCAATAGGGTCCACGGTTGCCGAAGAGTCCACGGTTGGAAAACGTGTACAAAACATATGGGAGGTCTTCCGAAAAGTTAATTGTGAACAAAAGAGGACCAATAGTGAGTCCTCAATTGAAGGTGTTTACACACTTGGGTCAGGTGCACTTGGGTCAGTGCAGCACTTGATCCAGCAGTTACGCCGTAGAATGGCAGGGGACGTAGTGGAAACTATTCAAATAACATGTTTTGTTATTATTTTAATAATAATTACAGATACCCGGGTGCCCTTCCATTACGGGAATCAGGTACCTGGTTCTTGTACTACTCGTAACAGCATGCCACTTCCACCCAATATGTGCATGAGTATAAAGGCCTACTTACGTTG